GTGGAAGTAAAAAGCAAACCCAAAACTTTCAGCCTGTGCAGTTCTAGAGAGAAAATGTATGTGTCTGGGGCTACAGTGAGCAGGGAAGCGGTCCTGCTGGGTGCTTCCTTGCTTCCCTTTTCCACCAGCATGGGAGTATTTCTGTCTACAAGTTCAAGGCGACGCTGTCAAAAGCGTTTAGGTTTCAAAAGTTAACTTAATATGTATGAAACAACTTCTGTCTCCTGTCTCTTAGTGATCAGGATTAATGGGACTCCAGTTAGCAACTTCATGTTGTTGCTCTCTCTGCAGTGTGTACAATGGTGTGAAATATGGGTATGTTTTACTTTCTGTTGTTTTAAAATTCATGGCTTTTCTTCATCCAGTGTACAAAGTCAGGTGCTGCCCTCTAAACAAACCCCATAATTTACTTTTAGAGGAGCCCTGTGTGTGTCAGAATGTGATGAGCTGCAATCTGCCCTCTGCTCTGCTGGTAAAAATGTAGGGTGATGCAGCTGTGAATGGATCCATGGTGCATTTATACTTGTCCAAAGCAAAGCAGAATTTAGGCAAATAAATTTCTTCCATTTATATAGAATCATTTAGGTTGGAAAAGACCTTCAAGGTAGAGTCCAACTGTTGACCCAGCGCTACCAAGTACACCATGTAACCATGTCCCTAAGCACCACAGCTGACAAGGGTCACCTTGTCATAGAAGATCAGGTTGGTCGAGCAGGACCTGCCTCTCATAACCACTTGCTGACTGACGCTGCTCACCTGGTTGTCCAAGGAGTGTGTCCAGGCTCCCTTCCATAAGGAATTGGGAAACATGATTCAGACCACAGGATGACCTTCTGAAAGGGTCTCGTGAGCCAGTTTCTCACTGGAGACTCAACAGAAGCAGGAAAAGGATGTCCTGTAATGACAATATCATGCTATATAAATATAGGCTGTGTATTAAAAGCAAAAGATAACAGCGGTATGCAGTTGTACACCCAGAAGTTTTGGAGATGAGGAGAAGCAGTGTATTCCTTGACATCATTTGATAAAGAACTGTGAGGAGGTTTTATAGCAGGCAACAGCCCAAACTCAGAAATACTCCAGAGGTTTATTTGGGTGTTGTAGCTGTGGGCTTGGCTGGGTTTGGGTGTCTTGGTTATCAAAAGGTTCCAGCTGTATGAAATAACCTCAGATAATCAGCAGTTCATCTCCTAGACCATTATTGCCCTGATCTTGGGGCCGTTTTCTGGATTTGTTGAAAGCTTCATGGTGGCAATTACAACCAGATGGTGAGATAACTTGTTCGATGTGTCAAAGGGATCATCTGCCACAGCAACAAAACATGCAGCGCATCTCAGAACCATAAAATAGGTTTGTGTCCGGGGGAGGAAGAAAGAGCATGTTTGAGGAGTGGTTTCCTCTCTGCTAGGCAGGGTTTGGGATGGGTGGGTGTTTGCTGGGGGGAGGGGGGGGAATCAGGAGAGCAACTGGAAACCCTAATGTCCAAGCCTTGGGGCTCTACCAAGTATGTGAGTTCAAGAGGGCCAATTGATTGTTCCTAACCATATTTTTGACACAGGATAACTCCTTTCCTTGCTGTGGTAGCCACTGCTGTTCTTTTCACTTAGAAATGGGGAGTATCTTCTGATGCTTGGCTCCTCTGCTGTAAAGGGGATATCAGATGCAGATCACCTCTAAGCTGTTGGGCTCTTTTCTTGCAAAACAGCCTATCTGTTGCAAGAATTATGTATATATTCTGCAGGGCCAGTTACCTTGTCTTTTTAAAAGTATGAATAGCTGTAATGCTGTCCTTACACTTTTTTTCCCCTCTATCTTCCCTAAACATGCTTCAGTAATTAATCAGCAGCGTGGCTAATTTCTGCTTTAGCTGCCTTGCGATGTAAGGAGCAAGACTGTGAGCAATCTGCTATCAAATTATCCTACCCTAGCAAACAAGATGGGATCTTTTACCCTCTTTTTATTAAATCCAAGCAGAATAGGTTGTGTAAGTACAATTGTAAATAGGACTCTCCCATACATTCTCATTTACTTCAGTGAGCGCTGTGTGACACCATGATGATAGGGCCTTTTGGGCAGAAATTATCTGGAGTTACAGATCAGAATAGGGCAATGTTGGTGGAGCAGTGTAGGAATCTGGTTGCTTTTTTACAGCTTTCCTTATAAAGATGCCGTATATCATCAGCTTCCTGGAATAAATGTTATTTGTAAAGCAGTATAAGCTCACCCATTAAACAATTTCTTAAACTATCTTTTTAAGTTTCAGGAAAGGGGGGCTACGTCAGCATTCATCTATGCTTGGTAATGATTTCCCGGTAAAGGAAGAAGAGGAGAAGAAATCCACATGGGGAATTCCTTCTGAGATGGGTGTGCTTAGGCATGTGGGAGTTATCCCATAGCAGCTTCATGGGAAACACAAAATTAGTTCTTTGGGGAATTGAGTCTTTGATGTGGAGAGCGTTACTGATTGTGCAGGCTCTTTATGTATGGGCTAAACTATATATCTAGGGGTTTTTAATACCCTTTGCTTCTTCCTGAAGCAATCTCAAAATTCTTACAGAAAAAAAGCAAACAAAAAAAGCCCGGAGGAAGTGTTTTATGACCTGTATTGCTGCTTTTTATTGCTAGGTCGGTTGATTTTTCTCCACTTGCTAATGCTTTCCAAGTCATGAACGTCCAAGTGAGCTGTGCATGTGCATCTCCATACGCACACCCCCATTCCTTAGTGGATATGGTGGAAAACCTGCAGTGATTCACGACATACTGTCTGCTTTAGCAGTGTTAGCCATACTTGTGTTGCTTGTTGGTTCAAAGGAACAGCTTTATCTGACAAAATATTACAAGTATAGTATTAAAAGCTAAGTTATCAGTGTCCCATAAGTGAATGAAACCACTGTGTTGTATTATATGCCTTGGAGAGAGCTGTTACTTGGAAATCAACACATGATGCCTAGTAGGATGTGTGGGTTAATGTTGCTTGCTTAATGTAGTTAATAAGCCAACTGTATCTTTGGCTGCATCAAAAGGAGCATGACCAGCAGGTAGAGGGAGGTAATTCTACCCCTATATTCTGCTCTTCAGAGGCCCCATCTGGAGTCCTGTGCCCAGCTCTGGGGCCCCCAGAGGGATGTGGAACTGTTGGAACGAGTCTAGAGGAGACCACAAAGATGACCGGAGGGTTGGAGCCCCTCTCCTATGGAGACAGGCTGAGAAAGCTGGGCTTGTTCAGCCTGGAGAAGAGAGGGCTCCAGGGAGACCTTGGAGTAGCTTCCCAGTGCCTAAAGGGGGCCTACAAGAAAACTGAGAGAGGTGCTTTTTAAAGGGCAGTAGTGATAGGACAAAGGGGAATGGCTTTGAGCTAGAAGAGGGTAGATTTAGATGAGGTACAAGGAAGAAATCCTTCACTATGAGGATAGTGAGACACTGGAACAGGCTGCTCAGAGAGGTTGTGGCTGCCCCACCCCTGGAATTGTTCAAGGCCAGGCTGGATGGGGCTTTGAGCAACCTGGTGTAGTGGAAGGTGTCCCTGCTGCGGCAGGGCTTTGGAACCAGAAGGTCTTTAAGGTCCTTTCCAACCCAGACCATTCTGTGAGCTATCAAACAGTAACCATCTTTTAAAATGTCATCCTGTAAGTAACACTAAAGGAATTCTGGAAGGAAGTTCCAGTCTGTGACTGCAAGGGTGGTTATACTGGTTAACGAATCCAGAGAGAGTTTGGGTGCTTTGACTGGCATTTAATAGTTCAGGTAATTCCTCTTTCAGCCCCAGTAGTTTGCCATAAGGATATGATTCGGAAATGTGTGACACTACAGTGAAGAAATTCATGCACAATCCTGGTATTTTAAGAGGAACAAGAGGGTGAACTTATTTCTTTCACTAATTTGGTCTATGTTTAAATACACAAGTCTGTAGTAAAATGCCTTTTAGCATGCAGTACCCTGTAGTTCTTTGCAAAATAGTCTCCCATTTCTCATGAGGAAACCACCAGCAGAATGGATAAAAGAGACTCTTAGCAATAAATCTTAAGAAAACATGGTGTAAAAGTGACTTTGAGGTGTTCAGGTGATGCTGTTCCTGTGTTAGATTTGTGCAGTGCTTATCTTCCAGTGTTGTACATTCGTTCCCCAGCTAATTCACACAATACAGTTGATTTCCCAGCTGGTAACTAGTTTTGCCATTGTTACTTCTGTGCTTGTAGTTGCACTTTGAACTCAGCAGGTTGGCTCAGGCTGTGAGATTCCCTGATTACAGATGCTTTCCCAACGAGGGGAGCACAGAGTCTCCTCTATCTGGTAAAACAGGAGGCGGCAGTTGGTGTGTCGTGCTTGCGTTTGGTGATGTGTGGGTAGCCACAGCCTTTCCTGGTGTGGTACCCAAATGATGGCCTAAGGTGCTCTGATGACTTTGATTTAGCTACTAAAATCTCCCACACAGCATTGAATAAGCTGAAGCCCAGAGCTACTTCTCCTTTTGACATTTAATCCACTTTAACTGCTCTTTCCAGGTGTGCTTAGTAGACCAGATTCATCCCCCAGAATGAATGTACCGAGTAGATTTTGCCCCAAATCAGCAGGTGACCCAGAAGGGTTTGGCTGAGGTTTGCTGGTAGGTTTGGGCTTCATCTGCTGGCTATCACCTCCCATCATCTACTTTTGGTGCTTTTGTTCCTTATGAATGCCCTTATGGCAAGGTATTTTAAAAGTAGTCTAATGAAGTCTGTCCAAGAGGGGTTGTGTTTAAGGTGGGTTCAAAACACTTAAGGCCATCTTAGAGGTTTGGGAAATGGTGATGGACAGCAGATAAACAACTTTGGAAATAAGCCAAATAGCAAATAAAACCCAGCGATGCATGCCTCCTATACGGCTAGCAAGATAGAGGATGGTGTTTCCATCCTCCTTGGTGAGGTTGTGATGCCAGTTTGCAATGCCAGTTTGGGTGTTGGGACCCCCAAGTAGCTGTGCTGTCTTTTGCCCCTGGTGACATCTCCTTTCCTCTCTTCCAGGAGCTGAGCATCGTGACGTGCCCTGCTCCTCCCTGCTCGGTGTGGGAACGACTTGAAGGACATCTTGGAGCCACCTGTACTGCTTCATGCAGTTAAAGTAAGGTTAAATGTTTTGGCAGCTCTTTCAGGTACAGGCAAGGGTTGAGGGGAGAGGTTTGGGGGAATGGCTTTCTCAGCTTACCTGCTTGAGAGCAGGAAGGGATGCTAATATCAAAGCACACGTTATAAGCAAATTCACTAAGTTATTTTGCCATAAAATACAACTTCTTTGTGGTGGAAGCAAAACAGTAGAGGGGTGTGTGGTCTCAGCCCTTGCATCAACCATATGCCATGGTGTGAAATAGCACTTAACAGAGCATCAGCTGGTTTTCCCTATTATTTTAAGATATGAATTTCATGTCCCTGGGGCAGGCACACAGTTACAGCCCAAGGATTCCCGTGGGAGCCAGTCAGGATCAGAGCTGAGATCCACAGGACTCAAGTCCTGCGGGCTGCTATTGGGGCAGGCCTCCAGGTCAGCACCACAGCTGTCTGTCTGTCCTGGAGCAGTGGTGGCATTGAGGCTTCTGGGTTTGATTTTTTTTTTTTTCCATGGCATGGTGAACCAGACCAGGGGTCAGATGCGACCTAAAAGCAAATATATGGTTATTGCAGTACTGACAGTAGCTGGTTTGACTCATGGAGTTACACCCATTCTCTCCAAAAAGCCTTGAATTTGCAAAAACTGTTAGCCTGAAGCAAAGAAACTGTGAGAGTCTTGCTTGGAAATGGGCGCTTGTCGTGTCTGAGCACTGATGAAGGAGGGAGGGAGGAAAACCACTGCAAGCTGCCTCTTTTCTCCTCTCGCAGTCTCTAACCTGTTTACCTTCTGCAGCGTCTCATATTTTCCATAGCCTTGCTTGAGAAGAACAGTGCCATAACAATACTGGGTCCAAATCATTTGGTGTTACTGAGCTGTAGCAGCAGGTGGGTGGATTAGTCATAAACTGTTGTTACTGTAGAAAGACAAGTTGTCATTGTAATTATTTGGGTTTCCTTTCTTCAGTGGGGCTGGGCAGGGAAGTTATCCCTATTTTCAGGGCTTGAGAAAAATGAAGTCTTTGGCAAAATCATGAATGAAACCTGCTTTACTGGGAATGAGTAAGTGGCTGGCTGAAAGCTGGTCTCCAAGTTCATCGTGAATATCCATGTTTGTTAGTCAGAGTATGGGGCCGTGTTTGAAGGAGGAATACATGACACCAGCTGCCTGTAAGAGAAGCAATTTGTGGCTTTATTTGTCATATAGTTTCTTAATGTGCTGCTAATTTTGGGGGTGTGGTGAGCTTGCAGGAGGCAGCACTTGCTGCTGAGGAAGATGACAGACCTAATGGTGACCAAAGGGATGACTTCTTCCGTGGCTGCAGAGGAATCTTCAGGGAGCTCCTCCCCTGCCCTCCTGCCTGGGAACCAGCCTCTGCACATCACATGTGATTTCTGGGTGTGCCTCTGAAGGATCTGGTACAAAAGGGCTAAACTGGAGTTTACAAGCAGCATTCTCATCCCCTTGGCTTTTTTTGCCTGCTGGTCTAGGATTTCCATAATTGTGATTATAAAGATAATCATTTCATTCATGCAGTGGTTACTTCTTAATGAACTCCACCTTAATGAGCTCTGTAACATTTAAAATAGCTGTATGACTTGAAAAAAAAGAAAAAAGCAAACCCCCAAACCAAACCCCAGCAATAAAGGACGTATTTCCACTCCCCAACCTTAATCCTGTGCTATAACATAATTGCAGAGAGTTGCCTGGCTGGTGAGCAGCTGCACAGCGTGGGCTCTCTCTGCATAGCTGCTTGTCCCCGAGCTGGGGTAATAAATGATTTACTGGAGGCTTGGCCCTGGGGGCACTTAACCCCTTCGATTCCTGAGGGACCAGCCTGAAAAGTCACCTTGTAAAGGTGGTTGAAAAAAACGATTCTGGGTGCCAAGTGGGGGGTCTGTTGGCAAAAGTTTGCTTTCTTCAGTGTGTGCTGGGTGCGGAAAGGCTCGAACCCAGAAGGTGGGGTGGTGGAATTGGGTAGAAACTCTGCTTATTTAGAGTTTTATTACTTGATGCTTAATTTAAAAATCACATTTGAATAAGTGTTCTCTCTTGTCTTGATTTAGATAAGCAACCCTTCAATTGCTTGGGGTTTTACTTTCTGTAGGGCATTCCCTGGATCTCTAGTGTAGTACAGTGTCCTGGGAACAGAGCTCTGCAGCTCTGAATTTTCCTCTTTGGGGCTGCAGTACCAAATGACTCCATCATTGCACTTGCTAGGTGTGTTTTTTGAGGCTCCCATCTCTCAGAAGGGATGCTCCAGTAAAACAAGCACGTCCTGTGTATACCTGAAGTATGTGTTAGAGGAGAATGTTATCCCAAAGCACTTTTGAGTTGAAAAGGAGCACTTAAGAAGAAACAATTCTTAATTCTGCAGTGGCAGATATGGTTGTGCTCAGCCACAGGGAATGGGGTTAGCACAGGTTCTCCAGCAGGAAACCTGGAGTTACTGATGAAGTTTTCCGCTTTGGGGGAAAAAAAGAAGTGGCAGCCAGGCTTTCCATGAGTAAGCCTACACTGCTTAATGCTGCACAGTGGGAGCATTTGCAAAAGGGAGCCTAAAGGGAAAAGTGAGCCTGATGCATTCTTCAGAGAGGAAAAGCACATTAAAATGTTGGGCACCAAAGTGGCTCTGACCAAAATGAGAGCAGAGGCGTCTCTTGGATCTTTGTATTGATGCCAGTTCTTCCAACTCCTCCTGTGGCTTTAGCAGTTAAGGTTAGTGCATGCACTCATTAAAATATGCATTGGATAACTACCTCTTTTGCAAATGCTAGGAAATACTTAATATTTGTCAGCATACATGGTGCTTTGGGCTTCATGAATTGGTTTCTTCTACTCCAAGCCTGCATTTCTGGGAGTGCAGTACAAGTGCTGTGGCTTGGGGGGCACAGGGAGAAGCAGGCAGAGCCTTATTGCTCAGCTCTAGGGCTTCAGGGAGTATGGATTCTTTTGTTGAAACCACTGTTACTCAATGTAGTTCCTAAAACAGCACAGTCCTGAGTCAGGAGAATAGTAATGTGGAGAAGGCTAGTTTTGGGATGCATGCTGTAGTCAAGAGTTGTTTAATCAATAGAGGCATTGCTTTTTTCCCACTGCCTGTGTAAAGCTGCAGGCATTTTGATGCTGATGACAGCTATTCATCACGTATATCTTTTTGTACACTGGGGTGAAATACTCCCCAAATCCTGTTTTCTCCCTCCCTACCATTCTTCACCTGGTGCTGTGCATCCAGAGGCACTGTTGGTCCATATAATGCGTCTCTGTTTTCAAAGCTAACTAGCAACTTCCGTGATGCTTCAGCTGCCCAGCTTGATACCCTTGGGGATTGACTCCACTTCTATAGAAGATGCTGGTTTTACTTGTCCTTTGAAAACTGGGCTTTTCCAGAAATTCCTAGTTAAGCACCCAAAGTCAGTGGTCACTGTTAAAAACATGAGCTGGTTATCACTGAGAGCTTCCCCACAATTTATTGCTGTAATGTGTGTTCAAACAACAAAGTGTATTGGAAGGTATAAACTGGATTATGCTCATTTGAAGAGGCATCTAGAATGTCTGCTAAGGATTTCTGGAAGTTACTATTTAAGCCCGAGATAAAAGTCTCATGCATACGTGAAACAGCTGCACCAGAACTTGTTGGAGGACTTAATTTGAGTATAAACATACGTGTGCTTTTGCGTGCATGATGCGCTTTAATTCAAGTCCACTGCTAGATCTTAACTTCATTAGGATGTAGCTCTTCATTAGGATGTAGCTACTTGAACTGAAGATGTGGTCTGTGATTTTTATTTTATTATAGCAGCACAATAGCTCCTTTTGAAATGTTGTTTGGAGTTTACAAATCAGCATCTGAAATACTGCTTGCCATTAGTGATATGTTAAAAGGAAAAAAAGACAAGTGAGGGCAGGGATACACTTTATTACAAGTGAACTGGTTGACAGTCTGTGTGTATTGTAAAATGGGAAATTAATCGCCCTGTGTTGATGACCCTTGGACATTTACAAAAGGCTGGTCTTTATGTTGCACAAATAGATTCTGGAAACAGGAAAGAGGCTTATGACAAGAGGATGAGATCAGTTTGTATAATTAGAGTGAGCTAATAATCCTTTTGCTCTATTTTTCCAACTTTTACACAGTATCCTTCTGTATTTGAAATTGGGCATATGGACTGTAGCTGTTCTGATCTGAGTTTTGTAGGTTTGTTTTCTGTATGTACTAATGGGTGAAGAGATGGGAGCAGGGAAACCAGATGTGCACATTTGAGAGAGATTTGCTGCCTTCCTCTGCTAGGCTTGGAGAGCAGAGCTGCTTTTATTAACCCTACACAGCTTCATCTCTTTCCAGGCTTTGGGAAGGAATTAAGTAATCCATTAAATGATTTTTTTTAATGGCAATTATGAGATTGAAATGATGCAAAAGAAGTAACGCAGTCCTGAGGCTGAGGGTATTTGGCTGGTATTGGAGTAAGGCAGAGCTGGATAAGGGACTTACAGCATGGAAAAGGCTTAAGCTTATTTTTTTGTGCATGTGTAAATGCTTGCCTGTACCTTAACTTTCTGCTCAGCTTCATGATTTTGGGAAGTATAATGGGATACGTGTGGGGACGGAAAGTGGCATGGCTGGAGGGATCGGCTGGAATGCCGGTAACCCCTGGACAGCCCAGCTCCCAGCCCAGGAACAGCGCTGGGCCGGCTCCTGCAGCCAGGAAGCTGAGCTACATTAAGCAAAGCAAGTTAATCTGTATCCAGAGCATTTTATTAAATCATCAGTCAATTAAATCAGTGATGCTCTGTTAGCTTGTGCTGCAGCCATGCTCCTGGCCCTCTGCTGTGGCATAGCCTGCAAGTTGCTCAGCTTGAGCAACTCCTGGCTCCTGTTTGGGCTGTTGTACATGAAGGCCACGGAACCGAGGTTTACAAAACCATTCAAACAAACAAAAACAAATGGGATTTTAGGAAAATTTTGCAATTAAATGTTCTTTTAGATTGTTTTCCAAGGGGGAGAAGGGTGTCAGGAAGCTTCTTGGCTGTGAAAGCACTCTGGGTGCG